GGAGGGGGGTCGTGAAGTGATTGACCATATTTTATACCTATTTTGGGGGTCGCGACACTAAAAAGGTTGAGAAACGATGACTTACATAATTACAAAAAAGGGCACCTGCAAGARGAGGTGAGTAAAGACTAAGGACAGTATTTTTACTTATTCAGTGTTTTAGGTCAATGACCGCAATAGACTAAAAACTATAATATATTTCAGTGTAAACAACATGATACAATGCGTTACGCAATTATGCAATTATTCAATTTATGAATATTTTGTTTTGCATAAAAGTGTTGTGTTAAATTTAAGCATGATTACAAATGGTGAGAACTGATAGCGTTCCCTAAGTAGCGTATATAATATTAACGTAGTTAGGTATATAATATTATGGTTAAGTCATACCTACCTAAGCGAGCCATATGAATTTCAAATTATTTAAGTTATTTCTACTGGTTTATTTATATGAATCTAAAGTATAAAATAGTATATAATACTGTTATTATAGGCTTATTATTATATTTATTTATGTACTCGCTTATTCTTTGACCTGTATCTTTAAACGAGTACATTTTTCAGTCAGGAGATCGATCGAAATGACCCGAGTGAGGGCAACCGACCCAAGACCATGTCCCAAGTGCGGCAAGATCTATCGTTCGGCACACACACTCCGTACACATCTGGAGGACAAGCACACCGTGTGTTCTGGATATAGATGTGTTCTGTGCGGCACAGTGGCCAAATCGAGGAATTCGTTGCACTCACATATGTCACGTCAACACCGTGGTATAAGTACCAAGGACCTACCCGTGCAACCAATGCCGTCCAATTTTGATCCGGAACTGGCATCGAACCTGCTGCTGAAAGCCGGAGTCAAGGTATTTTAACTAATTATTACAATAAAATATGTTATTCGTTGTAGTTTTGAAGTGTGATTTTCTCGAAAACCGAATGGAAATTCGTAAAACCGTGAAAATCACTACAATTAGTGTTAACCGAAAATAAATCAGGTTCGAAAGATCGTATCATAATAATCATAACCATCCAAGTCCAGCCTATAGCCAGCTAAGATTTAAATGCCTTTTAAGTTAAACCTATTTCTTTAAAAAAAAAACTGTGACCATAATAATAATGATTTGAGAAAAATGTCTACCTGGACACCTTTTTTATGTTATTAAAAAAAAATGTATTAAGTATTTTAATAGCTCATGCGTTTAATMAAAATAAAAATGACACTCAGTGATGGTTTTTATCGATGAAAAATATCTTCAAGCTGTATTCTAAAATACAAACATTTTAAATTAATATTATGTTAAATTCTACATAATTTTTTTTTCTCTGTATTTGTTCATTGAAACGACCTAAGGTCTTTGTCAATGCGTATCACAATAAGTGGGTAGTATAAGGAGATCATGTGAATATGTGATCTATTTATCTATGTATATATCACTATGTATATTATACTACCCCCTTCTCCAAGAGGAGACACATGTGCGGTCTTCACTCTCGGTGGAGTGGAACTTAATTCGAAACCAGATGACTCATTCGGCGACAGCACAAGAAATTGGTGATCGCGTTAAACCACGCAATTTTTTTTTTGCACTTTGCTATGAATCGAACTGATGACTCGCAGTCAATAGCGTGCAATGACCACTGCGCCACTCCGGCCTCCATTATACATAATACTTTAAAAATTATGATCATTACTTGACTAACAAGATGTTTTAAGATTTTATTTTACATTAGATACAATAATGCTTTGAAAATGAATAAAATGAAAAATATTATATTATTACAACGAAGATAAAATTTTAAAAATGTTTACCAAATTATAATATATAGCTTGYTTATTTAATAAAAATCTRTCGCCCTATAATATATGACCTCTAGATCAAATGTATGTGTTATATACGATGATTAGTAGAAATGTCTACAGTGAAAAAATAAATAAAGAAAAAAAGGCATAAACAAACATTTTATATGCACTACGAAAATATTTGATTAGTTTGGTATTTACAAAAATAATGTGTGGTAACAGACAATCAACTATATAATATCGTGCAATGTAAAATGGTACATTACATTAAATTGTCTCGGATTGTATATRCAGCATTTTTAGTTTAAATTCACTAACATTTTAACCATAAATTGTATTTATTATTCTAAGCTCACGTGCTATATATATATATCCCAAAGTCCAGACAAACGATTTATATTTCAAGAAAATAATATTTTTAAATGAACAAAAATGTTTTAAGAATATTTGTTGAATAATATCAGTCGAATATTGTAATAACTAAGTTCTTCTTTTATTTTATAAAAGTAATGCTTAAAATGTTATAAATATAATTAACGAAAAATGTTCTTTGGAATCATTTGGTACTTCTCGCGCGCGGTAGGTAGGTATCAAATACATATTTTCAATTAGGTACCCATTTTTTGTTAAATGTTATTTAAAAATTATAACTATATAAATATTATTAATTTATTAATTTTAAACTTGCACAGAATTTTTGCAAAATAAAGTTATCTCAAGTATAGACGAAATGTTATTGGTATACAATATATTACATATTCTAGTGGAATTTTAATTTTAATATTATAGAAAATAAATAGATTTTTTTGATTTAATATTCAACATTATTACAATTKTAATATTCGCAATTTCATTGAGTGCTGCTGAAATTTTTATAACATTGTTGTTACGAGTTTGTTGTCTGGATAGGCGTACTAAGCACAATAGCTTTCGTGTCTCGGTATTGTATCTGTTTTATGTTGTAAGCGTTACAGGGACACTAATAATAATAGTTATTATTTTATACGCGTTCATTGTTCGGTACAGAGAGGCCCCCTTGCAYRCCGTTTTTGATCCTTACTGTTTTCGAAAAATTAAGGATGGGACACTCCTTTTTATTGCACATCCGGTTTAAACTATATACAATTTTAGGGAACGGAAACACGAGCGATGGATAAACTCTACCACGGGTCCATTTATTCGTTTCACGTACGGTATATCATTGTTTCAAAGGTTTTTTTTTATTGTTTTTACTATGACTGCTCTAAGCAATTATTACGTGCTATTATTAATTTGATCGGTTGCATCAAAAACGGCACACTTTATCGGATTATTGTCAAAAGTAAATACCGCGTACAYTTTTGAATCTAATAACAGATCTAAAGATGTATTATATAAGCGTCRAAAACTTAAATCAAGTAATATATAAACAAATTTGGAAAAACACTAGTTGTTCCTTAAAATGATATATTAGAACTATTATAGAAGATAAAACTGTTAATTGTATTAACAGAGAAAATACAAAAAAGATTTTTTTCGTGACCAAAATATGATGTATAGGTAGTTAGGTAGACGCTGCTACCGCTAACACGACAAAACGAATGTTTTTTCCGTCTTTAAAATAAATTTCCCATTTTTTGTTTAGATGTGTCCATTGTATGTTGTTAGTTTCATTATTACGGATAATTGTTGCAAAATTGTATTTTATTAGACACCTATACTCTAATACTTATAATACTTATAGGTATCATATAGTTAATACATAATAATTTTATAGTTTCAATATTATAGTGGTCTATATTACTCTATTATCAAAACTAAAAGTGTAAGATTAGCTAAGGTAATCTGGCATACATAAATAGGATTGATACTTAAATTTTGAATGACTAATAAAAAAAAAAAAAGATTAATATTACAATTTTAGATTGCATTTCATTTTAAATAGGTATCTATAAAAGTCATAACTTGGATTAATATTTTTATCTTTTAATTGATTGTCCAAATTACACCGCACAAATTGCAAGTTCATTGTCCGCGGTGTTTTTTGAACTAATAAGCCGTGTGTAGCCAAACCCACCAAATACATATTTTCAGAATTTTTATCCGCGATAACTGTTCAATAGTTATTATACGATTAGAGTCTCTAACCTATAATTTAGAGGTAAAAGTCAGCTTTATTGTATTAGAAAACACTGCATCACCTATTAATGTGTGTCCGATAATTTCAGGTGTCGCCGGCTGAACTACGGGCGAGGGCTTCGCCGACGGACGCGGTGACGACCAGTCACCGGCGCAGTGACGGCAAGCTGGACTTGCAGTCAGCCAACAGCAGCGTGTGCGGCGGTGACGATCCTGAGGACCTGACCGTGAACTCGTCGGGTCACCACCATCACAGCCACCACAATAACAACAATAACCATCACCACCAGCAGTACGGCAACAACAACAACAACAACAACAACAACCAACAGCGGTACAGCGACTCGCAACAACAGCAACTGTTGCAGCAGCAGCAGCACCTTCTCCACAACAGCGGCGGTGGCAAGTTTCCGACGGCCCTAGACTTGATCGACAATTACGCGCGTGCTGGAGGCGGTGGAGGCAGCGGCGGAGGCGCCCTATCGCCGTTCCTGCCGGCGTTCGCGGCTTGCGGCAAAGACCTGCCACCGGGCGACAGCAAGATCTCGCCGTACAACAACAAGGCGTTCCTGGACTCGTACCTCAAGGCGCTGGTCGAGACCAACCCGCCGCTGTTCTACGCGTCCAAGATCGCCGGCGACATGATCAAGCATGAGATCGCGCCCGACGACGCGGATTACTCGTCTGCGTCCGACGAGGACGACATTGACGAAGACGACATCGACGAGGACGTCGATGAGGACGTCGGTGACGAGGACGACGACGACCGCCGTCGTCCGCGCGGCCAAAGCGAAGGCAGCGCA